CCCTTTGAATCACAGCAGTCTGATCTGTGAGAGCTCATGGGGATGAGCAGGACCAGGCAGCGTTCCTTTCCGTTGTGCATGGAGTCACCGTGAATCACAGGTCGACTTGATGGCAGTAGTGACAACAAGAGAGCTTGAGTGTTTGTTTTCAGAATGTCTTCAAAAGTTTCCTTTGGAAACTTAAAGAGAAATAATAAAGGGGTAAGGCAGAGTGTTTCCATCAGGGTTCCTGGTAGCAAGCAATTGATGATGGTTGTGTTTAGGATAAAAGAATTTATTAAAAGGATTTGGGGGTTTGCAGAATCTCTAGGAAGGCTGGATTACCAGGCTCTGAGCCTTAAACATCATTCAGAGACCTACCTCAGGTATGTTCCTAGTGAAACCACCACCAACATTGACTGAACTCTGGCCACTGTCACTGACATGCTGCCATTGTTGTCTATGGAAGTGAGACATCGGTGTCTGAATCCATCTCTGAATGGATTCTGCTTTGCCTCACTGGTTTCCACTTCACAGCACAGAGCAGGTGCTTCTGACAGGCAGAATCACATGCAAGGAGTCTGGAAGAGTATCTTGTATTTTCAGCAAGTATAATGGGAGGGAGCTGTGCCCCGTTAGCTGGATGTACCTCAGACATAGGGAGGGGCTTTAGATGTTGAGCAGCCAAAAATAAAATATAAGGTCCACTACTTCAGTTATATTCCAAATTCCTACAGGCTTAGTTTGATTTCTAAGCATACTCATTTGATGCTAAAAAGATCAAGATTATACGTTTGATTTCCATTACGGTTTATAATCAGTCGGTTACCTTCTCTTCTATAGCCTCACTCAGCTGTTTCACAGATTCTCTGATGCCAAGAAAATCAGATGGAAGTGTATAGGTATTGTTGTTGTTGTTATGTGCCGTCGAGTCGGCCCGACTCATAGCGACCCCTCCTTGGGTTTTCGAGGCAGTATCATTACGGAAGTAGGATTGCCCAACCTTCCTTCCGAGGTATTAGTCATTGCAAAACCATCCTGACCTTAAGAAAAAAAAATGTAGGTTGTAGACTTTGCTGACGTGGAGTTAGTCTTCAGGGAAATGCTACTGTACTTAACTATCTGTAAGGTGACTAGATAAATTTTATCACTTAAGATGGTAATTTTACCTTTCTTATCCGTTTTTAGAACTTTATTATAAAGCATTTGAAAAGGCAGTTAAGATAGTTCATAATTCATCATTAATATAACAGTTCAAACACCTTGGGGTACCTTCCTGAACATAATAACGTGTTAAAAATCATTATAGATCAGTGGGGCTTAAGTTTTCTTCCTGAGGATTCATAGATATCAGGACTATTTTCTCAGTTCTCTTTAATTAATTGTTTGGTGGTTTTAAACTTGGACTAGTTGCCCTTTAAAAAAATATGTTAAAACCAGATTCAAGAGGTTTTGCATGCAGTTCAAGTGTGGTAGTGTGTTGTTTGGATGAAATATAGAAATATATAAATTCTAATACTTCATAAAATTTTTGTACTATCTTACTCTTCACTCCAGGAGGAATATATTCAACCAAATAAAAGTGTTCACTATCATTAATCTAGTATAAATTTTAATTTTTGAATGTAAAAACTATGATAACCGTCTCTTATCCCATAATGTAGTGGCACTAAGTAACTAGGTCAACTGTTTGAATCCTGGATCTGCTAATTGCCATAGAACCCTGGAAAAACTGTTTGACCTCCCTGAGTCTCAGGTTCTTCATCTGCAAAAAGGAGGTAAATAGCACCTACTCTCAGAGAGGTTGTGAAAATCAGAGGAGTTACTATAAGGAAAGCACTTAGAATACTTGGCACATGGCAAAAATAAAAAAAAATAAAAAGTAGTAAATGTTCAGAATTATTATCTGAGAAATTTGTTTATTTAGCTTTTCATTTTGACATAATTTCAGGCCTAATGAAGGGTCATAGGAGTAACTCACTCTTTGAGTACCCTCACCCAGATTCCCTGAATGTTGATATTGCCACATTTGCTTTATCCCTGACTCTGTGTCTGTGTGTATTGTTTTGTTTTTTAATCATTTGAGGGTAAGTTACACACATTTTTCACCTTTAAATATTTCAAGATGTGTTTCCTAAAAATAAGAGCATTTTCTTACCTATCTATAGTACAATGATCAAAATCAGGAAATTATCACTGATGCAACACAGTTGTCTAATCTACAGACCTGATTTGGATTTTTGCCGGTTGTCCCAATAACATCACTTCTGGCATAAGGAAATCCTAGATCATGCATTTCCTTCCTGTTATGTCCCTTTAGACTCCTTTAATCTGAAACAGTTCCTCAGGAACAAACTGTTGGTTTTTGTCTTAAAGACTTTGACAGTTTTGATAAGTACCAGCCAATTATTTTGTAGAGTGTCCCTCACTGTAGGTTTCTCTGATGTGACTCTTACATTCAGTCAGTACACTTCTGGCAGGAATACCAGAGAAATGATGCTGCATTCTTTTGATTGCCCTAGATCAGGAAGCATGTGATGTCCGTTTCATTACTAGTGCTGTTAACTTTGATCACTTGGATAAGATCTGCCAGAGTTCACCAATCCAAAGTTACTATTTTTACTTTGTCACTATATTCATGGATTCCTATTTTTATTCAATGGGCTATAAGCTATTAGTAAAATTATTTTCATGCTCCTGTTACCCCCATTTGGCCAGCGGGACCTCCTTAAAGCTGGCTCCATGTGCCCTTTTGCCACATCGTTTGAGTGCTTCCTTCCTTCTGGCACAAGATGTTTCAGACTCATTTTGCCCCAAACCTGGAATCACCCATTTCTCTAAGGATGCTGGGTTTAAGTACAGGAAGCGGTCCTGCGTCTTATGCTGGCTTCCTAAAATGATATTCACAGGTGAAACTTAGAAGATCCTTAAATAAATAAAATAATAAATAAGAAACAACCTTAAGTTTCACTCATTCACTCAATCACTAAACTTCCTTCCTCTGTGTGCTTCAGGTTAGAAACTCCCCGTGCAATGTTTAACTCCAGTTAACATTTCAAAAATAGTGTCCGAATAATTGGTGGAGGAAATGAAATGCTATAGATGTTCAGAGATGGTCTAGAAAACTTGGAACGGAAAAGAAGTTTCAGGAAAGATTAGGATTTGAGTAGATAGAAATGAGGAGGGAGGGTAAGCGATTCAAGGACACAGCCTGAGCAGAGACATGGTGCTAACAATAAGTGGTTTATTAGGGAATTTTGAGGAGCCTAACTACTGGGTGGAGACAAAAATGTCAGTAGTTAATGGTAAGTGGAATTTGGGTTGTTGGAAACCTGATTCTAGTTGACCATTTAGAATATATTCTACAGGCAATGAAGAGTCTCTTTTTTTTCTTATTGTGATTTGGGTGAAAATTTACAGAGCAAATTCACTTTCCATACAGCAGTTCACATACACTTTGTCCCATGACATTGACTACAATTTACCACAATGCGACAGGATGAAGAATCTCTTAAAGTTTGGGGGCTGGGTAGCCATAAAGAGAATGTGTTAGGAAGTTTAATCTGATGTTATATTATAGAATATTGGAAAACAGAAGATAAAGTAGGAAATCCCTAAAATAACTGAGTCAGCGGCAATAGAAGTACACATATGAAGAGATAGATACAAAGATAACTAGAAGGAAAAAAATGATTTTAGCATATTGAGCCAGGATCACTTGAAGAAAAGGGAACTCAGAGAAATAGAAGAGTGATGATTTTTATGAAGAGAAGAAAACAGAAGTCATCTGCAAATAGAAACTCAAACAAGTTAAGTGATACTGAAATTTTTAACTTTTTTTCTACACTGGTTGATTTCAAAGGCATAGAATTCCTCCACTCCTTTTTATACAAAACAGTATGCTTGAAGAGTAATCACTTGGAGCCATGTAATGTCATAGTTAGTAGACAGAATCATGTTTGTTGAATTTTATAACACTGTTGGAAATAGATACTTGGTAATAGCTTTAAGTTTAATAATTTCAGTTTTATACCAATAATAGAAAGTTGTTTTGGTTTGATATGTTCTAGTATATTCAGCTACGTTCAAAACAAACTCACTACTGTTGAGTCAGATCCACTCATAGTGACCCCTCCTTGGGTTTCTGAGGCAGTGTGTCTACGGAAGTAGATTTCCCAATCTTCCTTCCAAGGAGTGGCTGATGGGTTTGAACCACCAGCCTTACGGTTAACAGTCAAATGCCTTAGGCACTATGCTACCAGAGCTCCCATTACCAGTCAAATCAAATCAAAACTCTGAATTGAGATCCTGATTCCTTCTTACTCTGAAATGTATTTCCTTTATTGGTGTTTGAGGTTAAGACATTTATTTCCAAATGCAACATTTGATTTTCTGAGTGTTATTGAAATTCACATCGTTCTTCCCCATGTTATGAAAACATTGTTGTTACCTTCAACTTTGTCCATAGAAGAACCATCAGAAACTAAGAACTTAGCTGTATAAGATCTTTAAATCACCGAATACTAAGATGTTCTTTGCCATATGTTTGAGAGAAAAGTAGAAAGAACCAACTTTAGGTCTAAACTTTCCACAAAAAGGAAGAATAAGGGTTACTAAATGGATATTTTACTATTTTATTAATTTTTACAATTAAGTATACTTCATTCTTAATCTAAAACCAGGCCATCATTCTTCTTAGTGGTAATAGCAAGGAAAATGACACAGGTTTGTTACCTCCTCAGGTTTTCAGAACTGGGTTGAATGCTAAAGTTTACATCTGAGGCCCTAAACCTCATTCTATCCATAGGGTACCAAGAAGGTTTGTTCATTGGTTTGTTGATAAGTTAATATGTGGACTTTCTCATTAAAATCTGTTGAAAAAAATTAATACATGAAGTAATGTGTTAACCATGTAACATGTTGGGATAGTGCTGGGCAGCTCTCATCATTTCTGCTGCTAGTTTACAGAAAGGAAAGAAGATTTGTTGGGAAAGAAGATTTCATGTTATCTGTATTTGCAGGCTTTCTGGCTCGTATGCTGGAGGAATCCTTGCTGCGGGGGTGTTTTCATTTTCTCGTCTAACATGGCAGTGGTCCATTGCAGCAGAGGTTTTTAGCTTAAACAATCTGTTTGTGGGGCTGCTTATGGCTCTTACTGTACATTTTGAGGAGGCAGCAACTGCAAAAGAGAGATCAAAGGTAATCTATTTTGATCAAAGTGAAATAAAATTTTGTTTTCATTTTTAGACAGATACTGTATTTCTTAAAGTTTAGGTACTGTTCGTCTGTTCCGTTTACTGTCAAAGTAATCAAGGCATGTTGGGAGGAAAAAGAAGTGTTCTCAGTTCTTTTACTGTGAATGGAACCACTCCAAAAAAAAAAAAAAAAACAGACTCTGCCGTCAAATCGTCCAGACTCATACTGACCCCTCCTTGGGTTTCCGAGGTGGTATCTCTATGGAAGTAGATTGCCCAGTCTTCCTTCCGAGAAGTGGTTGGTGGGTTTGAACCTCCAGCCTTCTGGTTCCAGTCAAATGCCTTAGGTACTATGCCACTAGAGCCTTTATAAAACATGGGACCTCACACTGCCTCTGCCCCCAGTACTAAAAAGTTTTTTTTTGGGGGGGGATGAATGAGGAATTCTATCCATAGGGTACCAAGTGTGTGTGTGTGTGTGTGTGTGTGTATGTGTGTGACCATAAGATGCTAAGCTCTAAAATGACCAACTTCAATTATGTACCAAAATGGTGCATATATTTATGTTCTAATTGCAAAAAGTCAAATTTGTACTTTAAGTAAAAGAAAAACATCAAATGTAGAAACCAAGAAGTTTAGAAGAGATTACAGTGTATTCTAAGGTAACCGTTGTCATCAAATTTGTTTGAAATGTGAAAAATCCCAAGAGTTAATAGCACACACATTAGAAAATACCAAATCATCTTAGTATAGACAACTTTGTCTCATTAAAGAATATGAAAACAAAGAAACATCAGAGTTTATCTGTGGTTCACATAAACAGATCTGTGATGTTGCTGCAATGTATTTTTTTGTTTAACTTTTTTAAAAATTAAAAAAATAACACATGTTCAAGAAAATCAAAAACGCCACCTATAGATAACCAGATTCCTAGGTAAAAATGGTTACATTCCATACATTTAATACAAGAAAAAGTAAAACAAAGAATTGCTGAACTTTGATTATTTACTTGAGTAAGCATTACGATTAAGCACTGTATTTGTTATTAGTCATCACAAAGACGTTCTATAAGTTTGAAGACAGACATTTAAGGACAAACCACAGTGGTTTAATGAGAATAAGAAATACTAGTAAAAAATACAAGGGTGATAAATATTAGTAACTGTTAAAGCATGGCTGTTTGCCAGCCATGAGGTTGATTTAATTCTTACCTGCAGTACAGATGCTTGGTTTTAATATAAAGAATAGCTTTTTATTATTATGCTTATTTAGAATTTTAGGAGAATTTTTAACTTGGATTTTTTTTCTTTTATCAATCTTCAGATAGCTAAAATTGGTGCCTTCTGCTGTGGCCTTAGCTTATGTAATCAGCACACGATAGTACTCTATGTTCTGTGCATAACACCATGGATTCTCTTTCGACTTTTAAAAGAGAAGGTAGGTTTCTTTTTAACTTTGTTAAAATGAAGTATTTTACTTAGGCCCAATATAACACTTACTGCATAAGAAAATCTGGGGCTTTAATTTTTCCTTTGTGTTATGTAAAGCACAATAACCTTAGGTCCTAACAACATTGACTGAAAAAGGAAGATTTACAGAAATTAAGCAGTATTGATCACTGTGCCATCTAACGTGTTTCATAATCTTCTGAATAGCACCTCAAAGAGAACAGGCTAAAAGAACTTTAAAAATATATATATCAAATTTTCTTAGTTGTTTTATTGTACATACTAAGGCAAAGGATGATGTGCCAATAATATTTCACTTACTCATTCAACTGAGTGTTGAGTGCCTCCTCTGTGCCACGTGCTGCTCTCATTGCTGGAGACACAGGTCTCAACAGGAAAACAACATCACTGCAATTGTGACCTAATAACGAACTCTCTGGTAAATAACATCCCTGTTTTCTCAGACCTAGAATTAAAAATTACTTATTTTAGTTTCTTCTTTCTCTGCAAGGAAAGTGATTATAAATTAAAATGGCGGTATTAAGCAAGGTAAAGAAATTTGTTACAGCAATGGGAGTTGTAGATAAGGAGAAGGCAGAGATGTGAGTTAGACCAGAGTCCTTGGAAGGTCAAATGCCTTTTATTCCACTAGTCATTCCTCCCAGAGGTTAAAATAGTCTACATAGAAAGCTGGGAGCTCTGGTAGCATAGTGGCTAAGACACTTGCCTGCTAACCAGACGGCTGGCGGTTCAAACCCACCAGCCACTCCTCGGAAGGAAGGTTGGGCAATCCTACTTCCGTAATGATACTGCCTCGGAAACCCAAGGAGGGGTTGCTATGAGTTGGGGCCGACTCGACGGCACATAACAACAACAACATATAGAAAGCCAGTGCTGAGTCATTTTTACTTACTACATCATTTATTGTTTGTGTGTTTGTGAATTATACCTAAACCAAAAAAAAAAAAACCAAAAAACTCACTGCCGTTGAGTCAGATTTGACTCATAGCAACCCCTCCTTGGGTTTCTGAGGTCGTCTCACTACAGAAGTAGATTGCCCAGTCTTCCTTCCAGAGCTCCCAAATTATACCTAGGCTACATTTATTTATCATTTTGTTTATCAATTGTTGTTGTTGTTACGTGCCGTATAGTCAGCCCTGACTCATAGTGACCCCTCCTTGGGTTTCTGAGGCAGTATTATTACAGAATTAGATCTGGTGGGTTTGAACCGCCAGCCTTCTGGTTAGCATTCAAGTGCCTTAGGCACTACGCTACCAGAGCTCCTTGTTTATCAATTATACCCAGCTATAATCAGGATCATAATAGAAAACACATGCTGTTGTTGTTAGGTGCCGTCGAGTCGTTTCTGACTCATAGCAACCCCATGCACGGCACATATACAATAAAAATATTATGTAGAAATACTGAAATAATTATACCAAAGTTTTAGATAACTGTATTGACTGTATAGGAACACATTTTATTTCTTAGCTTCTTGCCAGCAAAAAAGGTAATATGGAGGTTATAAAATTCTTATTATGTTATTTAAAAGTGAATAAAAGGGAAACAGTACAGTTGACAGGAAAGATAAACTTTTTCTTGGAACTGAATTCTGTTAAGTCAATCCTGTAAGTCCTTATGTAAGAAATATTGAATAGCATAACAGGCAGTGTCTTTGATAGGGTTTTTATAGAGTATACAGGAAGTTCTTTATATGATCATTTCTTATATAAGCCCTTAATTTAAAAAAATGGAGATACAACATAAAAAATATAATTCACTGAAGACTTTTCTGTGGAAGTAACTGAGGAGACCCAAATATTGTGAATTGGATGGATGCATATTAGCAGTGGGTGGACAGTGTATCGCATTCCTTTCCTTAGTCTGTATCCATCATCTTTGCCAGGTTTCTGACATGAGCAGAGCTCAGAAGGTGCATTCTGTGCAAAGAACCTGAAAGCAAATATTTTATGTTAATCGATTGGAAGGCAAGCCATATGCTTTGTATATAAAAATGCTGGACTCAGAGTTCATAATTTAGTAGCCTGGACTGGAGGCCTGTTTGCCTTGTGCTAAAGTAAGCTTCCAATAAATGGGGAGCTGTGATTGTTCAGTAGCCTTGTATTTCCATTATTAAATAGCAAGACAGTATTTGGATCTAAGTGATACGAAGCAGAGCAAGAAGTCCTGCATCAGTTGATCTCAACTCTGGATGCGCACTTAAATTATCTGGGAAGCTTAAAAAATATGTCTCTGTGAGTGTGACATTCATATATATATACATGTATGTGTTCATATTCCCATTCACATACCATACACATACATGGGTGGTGCAAATGGTTAATGCACTTGACTGCTAACTGAAAGGTTGGAAGTTTGAGTTCATCCAAAAGCCAAGTAGTCTATTTCCAAAGTCAGCCATAACTTCCTCCTTTGCCATGAGACCAGAAAAACCAGAACGGAGTCTGGCTACGCTGCCTGAACATTTAGATCAAAGATTCTGTAGAAGAATCCTGATCAAAAGGAGGAAAATGTGAATTTTCAAATTCTGTGAAATCCAGACTTTTAGGAGCCATGGAAGCTGGATGAACCCCTGAAACTATTACTCTGAGATAATCTTTAAACCTTAAACCAAAAATATCCCCTAAGTCTTAAAACCAAACAATAGTTTAACTTAACTAGTAAAGAATAGCTGCCTTGAGCATTGTGCTCTTTTAAGACCTATTTGTATGGGGCGCTCTGGTGGCGTAGTGCCTAAGGCACTTGACTGCTAACCAGAAGGCCGCTGTTCAGACCCACCAGTCACTCCTTGGAAGGAAGGTTGGGCAATCTAGTTCTGTAGAGATACTGCATCAGAAACCCATAGAGGATCCAACTCAACGGCAGCGAGTTTGGTTTATTTTTTTTTTCATTTAGGGTCAAACTGGCAACAGCAACTCAAAAGGTTAGATAGGACGCTTAGGGGGCAGTGAGTTTATGTTAATGGGAAAGGAGCAACTCAGAAAAGGAGGGTGAAAGTGGTTGCACAACTTGAAGAATGTACTCAATGTCACTAAATTGTGCACATAGCAACTGTTGAGTTAGTGTATGTTCTGCTGTGTATATTCTCAACAACAAAAATAAAATAAATTTTAAAAAAGAAAGCCTATAGAACACAGTTCTGTTCTGACATACATAGTATTGTATGAATCTGAGTTCACTTGATGGCAACTGATATATACGTGGTGTTGTTGTTGTTGTTATGTGCCGTTAAGTTGGACCCGACTCATAGCGACCCCTCCTTGGGTTTCCGAGGCACTATCACTACGGAAGTAGATTGCCCTATTTTCCTTCCAAGGAGTGGCTGATGGGTTTGAACCGCCAGCCTTCTGGTAAGCAGTCAAGTACTTTAGGCACTATGCTACCAGAGCTCCTGGTATATACATACATATATTAATGTATGTATGTGTTTGTATATGCAGATATATTCATATATATGTATATTTGACCTGATCATGACCTCATCCCAAAATAATTCTGATTTAATTGATCTGAGGTGAGACCCAAACCCACCAAATCAAATCCATAGCCATTGAGTTAATTCTGACTCATAGTAACACTTTAGGACAGAGAACTACCCCATAGGGTTTCAAAGATTGTAAATCTTTATGGAAGCAAACTGCCTCATCTTTCTCCCATGGAGCAGCTGGTGGGTTTGAACTTCGAACATTCTGGTTAGTAGCAGAATGTTTTTGGCACTACACTGCAGAGCTCCTTGAGGTGAGCCCCAGCCTCAATATTTAAAAAAATCTCCCTGGGAGATTCTAATGTGCACCTAGGGCTATAAACCCCTCTTCTGGACTGTCTGTAATAGCTCTTGTGTAATTGTCTCTCTGTTTATTTCTATACAAAACCAGAAAATTCATCAACCACATCTTACCCTTCTAAATTGAACTTTACAGTAGACGGAAGCTGCTAAAATACAAACATTTACTTTCTTTAATACCAGTTTCAAGAGTAACAAAGGCATGCTGTGAGATTGGATATTTCTTACACTCTTTTCACACCATCCTTTTTTTATATGTGTCATTACCACCATAGAAATCTCATATGAAATCAGTACTATAATAAAAACACTCCATTTTCAATTAAGGATGTTTATTTGAAAATGGTGATATAAATCAACTGCTGCTTCTACTTTTGGTGAATGTGAACCTTGGTTCTTGTATTCACTTTCATGTATTAATTTCTCTGTTTTTAAAAGAAAAAAATGGTAATTTCCATTTATGATATTTGTAGTAGACTTCTTTCCCAACTAAAGCAACCAATATTTATTTGAATCTTTCCAGTATCCCAGAATTCATATTCTTTTACATTTAATCTTTATTTAAAAAAAAAAAAAAGCATTGATTGAGGTTAAAGGTTATATGAAAGCTAACTTAATTTGTGGCAAACATTTCCATGAAGTATCCAAAACCCTTCTATAAAGAATCATATTGTCAATATATATACATAATAGAGTTATTGGTTGTAAGTCTACTCATGATGATGATAATGAAGCTCACTGACATTAGAACAATGTTTTGAGCATATTCAATATCAACCAATACACTTAATCACTTCCAAGTGTGTTATCTCAGTGTGTAATGCTGCGTGTCATGACTTCGTTTTAAATGTAAAAGATGTAATGAACATGATACTCATGCATCTTTCCTAATATTCTTTGCTTCATTCATATTTCACCTGCCATGCCAAGGAGTTCAGCTGATGCAATTTTCTAATAACCCACAGTCATCTGGAGGTTTAGCATAGTATTTTGTGGTGACTTCATATAAATGAAGAGATTAGCTCTGTGTAAACATGTATCATGTTTTCTTTGATGTGTTCTTGAAGTTCCAGTATGACTGGCCTCAGACAAACATCGTTGTATAACCTGATGTGTTCTAATGCAGGAGCTGTCCCTGGGCTCCTTCCTGAGGCTGAGTCTGTGCTTCTGTGCTGGTTTGCTGCCCTACCTCCATCTTCCTGTCTCCTCGTACCGCAGTCAAGCCCGTTGGACCTGGGGAGACCAGACAACAGTGCCAGGATTTTTGACACATTTTCTCAGGGAGGAATATGGAACATTCAGTCTGGTAAATTTATATTTAAAGTCCTCTTAAGGAAATAAACAGCAAAAATTTAGTATTCTGCTTGGACCTTGATTGGGGAAAAAGAAAAGACAGTTAATAGAATTTTTTTTCCCCAGTTATTTATGTAACAAACATGTCCCTTGGAGTGTGGCCTTTAAAATAGTTTAGGAAAAAAATTGTGATCACTTAATCCGACATCATCCTGTTGTGGTGGAATGTACTTTTCTGGATGACAAGCATTAAAAGGACTCAGCTGCCTGCAGTTGAAGAACTGCAGTTTTGCTAGTGTTGGGTGAACACTTCGTCTATGTACAAAAACATTGGAAAAAGGTTGAGGGGGGGAAAAAGCAACCTCTTTTTAATTTACTATGCTGGTTACCTGTTGCCACTTTGAGGAGCTCTGGTAGCATAGTGCTTAAGGCACTTGACTGCTAACCAGAAGGCTGGCGGTTCAAACCCACCGGCCACTCCTCAGAAGTAAGATGGGGCAATCTACTTCATAATGATACCACCTCGGAAACCCAGAGAGGGGTTGTTATGAGTCAGGTCCAACTCGATGGCACACAACAACAACATTGCTGCTTTGACAAGAATATACCACAAATAGGATGGATTGAACTAATAGAAGTTTATTCTCTTACAGTTTGGAGGCTAGAAGTCTGAATTCAAAGTGCCAGGCTCTAGGGGCTGGGTGAAAGCCCCTTAACCTTGGGCTTCAGCTCTGCCTCCTGCTCCCAGCCCACTGAAGCTAGAGGCTTTTCTTCACTCAAGACAGCTGCTGGCTGCTGAGACTGACAAGCCCAAGGTTGACAAATAAAAAGGCACAGTTCCGATGTTACCAAACCGCATGACAGGCCATTAGTTCAAGTCCATTGAAAGTCCCAAGGTTGGCAGAGCATGGCAGGCTGCTGAGCAACAACATGGCTACACGCAGGGTCCAAGCATGCCATAAGCTATAGACCATTCCTAGGTGCTGCTTATATACGGGAAGCAGACCATACATATCCCTAAAGCAGGTACTCAGGTGCTTGTGGTAGATCCCACCATGGAATTGATTGCCAGTCTCATCATGGGACATAACTACCACATTTACCTTGGCCAAGACACTTTTTTCCCCTCCGTGTATTTGATGAACAATGTTCATGTTAGTATTTCATTTCTACACTGAAGACATATTTTCAAATGCTTCATAAAGTGCTTCACTCAATGGGAAAAATGGCTTTAAAAAAATTAAAAAGGTTTTGCTTTCCCTAAGACATAAATTAAGGGAACACGTTAAATGTGGTTACAGTAAAGCTTATCTGACAAACGAAAGAGCAAACTGAAGGTTTTTAATGTTAATCTAGATAGTTGAGCCAGGTTTTTCTTGCATACAACAACAACAATCTTACTTAAAAAGACAAGTCCCAGAAGAATAGATATTATATGATACCATTGATACAAATTCTAAAAGACCTTGTGAAAACAAAATGATTTCTTGTTTAAGGATATATGCAAATGTAGTAAAACTTTGTGTGTATGTGTTAAGTCGGGAAATTCAAGGTTATTATGGCCAGGGAGTGAAGAAGGGGAGAGGGAGGCCTGTGAAGACATGGCCATATACCTTACTGTATTGATGAAGTTCTGCTTCTTAAATGAATCATGGGTCTCTGGTGGTGTTTTTTTCAAGCTCTATTATGTACTTTTTATGAAGGAGATATTTCATAATAGATTAATGATAGGATGATTATTATTTTTTGACAAAGAGTTTGATACTTTTACTCTCTTGTTGACTTTATGTTGGTTACTCCATAAAAATATTAGGTACAGTCCGTATTTGTGAATTGTATAATTCACACATAATTGTGAAATTATAGACTATCAGAGATAATGAACTCTAATCAAAGTTATCAAAAAGGCCGAGAATCCATAACAGAAGTGTAAAACCTTTACTGATTCACTGATGGGTTCATCATGCCTGCTGGAATGGTTTCACTGATTTTAGCCAATGTATTATTTCTGAAATTCTTCCTACAGGATGTTGATGTTTATTTTTCACTGACTTTAAAAATTCTATAAGGCTTTGAAGTAAAGTCTTTGAATAAAGAGAGATGTTGCAATGTATATTTAAAACATGTATCTTTTAAATTAAGATATTAAAATACATTAGCCTGAAAAGCTTCATTTTAGTCTTTGTGCAAATAAACTTTGCTCTTTTGTGTTTAGGCAAAATCTGAAATAGGATCCAGTATGTCTAAGATACTGCTGTGAGTATAAAATACTTGAAACTGTTTAAAATGAATTCTCTATTATGTAAATTATTTTCAAACTTTTACTACCTTTGAGTCGATCTGACTCATGGTGACCCCCCCCACCTTGGGTTTCCAAGGCAATATCTCTACGGATATATATTGCCCAGTCTTCCTTCCAAGGAGTGGCTGGTGGGTTTGAACCACCAGCCTTCTGGATAGCAGTCAAATGCCTTAAGCACCACACCACCAGAGCTCCTGTAAATGATTTTAGGGATTGCTTAATTTATCTCTGGTAATGTAGTGCCTAAGGCACTTGACTGCTAACCAGAAGGCTGGCGGTTCGAACCCACCAGCCACTCCGCAGAAGGAAGGTTGGGAAATCTACTTCTGTAGTGATACCGCCTCGGAAACCCAAGGAGGGGTCACTATGGTTTGGGTCCGACTTGGTGGCATATAACAACAAAAACAACAAATTTAACTCTTTGTGAAGCATGCCTGAGAAATAGTTTTCAGCTCTACAGCTAAAGTTGTTGGTGTACACTGTCAAATATTCTAGCATTTCCTTCACTAAGATAAAGCTTAAAGTGAGCAATAAATGCAACTATGAATGAGAATGTTTGATGAGTATATAGATTGATAAATATGAAAATGTTTCAACTTTCAGTTGGATTCAAAATTACCCAACATAGTGTTGCTTTAGAATGAATTTGTTCCTTTTTCTGGTTTTTATATCTTCTTTCTTTTAGAGATATTTTATAGCATTGTATTTAGTGAAGTTTGAACAATTATTATTATTTTTGTGTGTACTGTGTGCTCTTTTATTCTCCAGAGCTTATTTATTTATTTAATCTCGTAGGATTTTTACTTTAGCTTGGTCTGTACTTTTTACTTCAGTATTTTTAGCATTCAAAGTTATTAAAACCAGTGTAAGCAAAATATTTTCATTGGTATTACATACTAATGTTCTCTGAAAAATGTGTTAATATTTGCTTTAAAACCCAGACAGATTAAGACAACTTGAAAATTATCTGTACCAATCCAGTAATACTTCTATAATATTTGCAATATAAGAGTGAGGAAGAATATTTTTCTATAATCCTAAAGTGATCTAGTAATTACTAACTTGGGATTCTCCAAATTAACAAAAGTAATTTTGACAGTAATGGGTTGTTGTTGTTACTTGCTGTCGAGTCGGCCCCGACTCATAGTGACCCCTCCTTGGGTTTCCGAGACAGTATCACTACGGAAGTAGATTGCCCACCCTTCCTTCTGAGGAGTGGCTGGTGGGTTTGAACCACCAGCCTTCTGGTTAGCAGTCAAGTGCCTTAGCACTATGCTACCAGAGCCCCTGACAATATGAGTAGACTATTTCAGTTTTATATATGAGAGAGTTCCTAGCTTCTCACAGTTTATATCTTGTTTATGCTTGTTTGCTTGCTTGCTTCCTTCCATTCTTCCTTTCTTTTTAAATAACTCTCTTCCTCCTCCTAACCACAATTATAATCATAGAAAATTCAGAAAATACAGATAAACATAAATTATTTTTAATTGACTATAATTCCAGTATGTAGAGAACCACTATTACTAACCTATTAACATTTTTATGTATACCTTTCCAATATAAAACATTGTGTTTGTGAAAACTGATACATACACACACACACACACATACATATATGGGAGCTCTGGTGGCATAGTGCCTAAGGCATGTGACTGCTAACCAGAAGGCTAGCTGTTCAAACCCACTAGCCCTTCCTCAGAAGGAAGATTGGACAATCTATTTGTGTAGTGATACTGCTTCAGAAACCCAAGGAGGGGTCTCTGAGTCAGATCCAACTCAATGGCAGTGAGTTTGGTTTTTGGTTTACATATATATACTCTGGTAGTGTAGTGCCTAAGGCATTTGACTGCTAACCAGAAGGCTGGTGGTTCAAACCCACCAGCCACTCCTCAGAAAGAAGATTGGGCAGTCTACTTCCATAGTGGTACTGCCTCGGAAACCCACGGAGGGGTCACTACGAGTCGAAATCGACTTGACGGCAGGGAGTTGGTTTATATATATAATTTTATTAGCATGCTAGTTTTTCCTTTATATCTTGAAAATATTTCCCTTTTACCAGTTATTATGTAGCATTTTTATGGTTCTTACACTTTATTCTAAATATTTATTTTAATGCCTTTTGTGGCTCCCTTTTGTTGTATTTTATCAGTGTCTCCAGGTTCTGCTTTACTCTGTGCCAAAAGATCCACTCTCTATTCTTTTCTATCTACCTCCTGGCAGTTATTACAGCGTTCAGGATCACCAGTATATTTTGCCTTAACAAATGCCATAAGAACTCCAAAGAACACTCAGGAATAATGCTAGACAATAAGTCTAAATTTTATTAATTGCACATAAAAGTGCTCTATTTGGGAATGAAAGGCCTCCTTTACATTAAGATAATAGAATTTAAGTTGTATCCCCAAAAAGATTTGACATAAATGACAGTCACTCATACCCACACTATTTGTTGGAACCAAAATATAATACAGAATAGCAGCATAATCCTAGCACTCTGAGTGAGTGAGAGAATTTCCAGTCTTTAATTATTTCGGGTGGACAGGAGTGTTGAGAAAGGCAAGTCATAATTATAACTTAGAAGAAAATCCTTAGAAATGATGGAACCTAATCATCTATCCTTTCCCAGTCAAGCTAATTAAATTCTTTCCTAATGATACCTCTAAATTGCCATCCTGGACAAGGAAATTATTGAGTCTAACACTAGGCAGTGACCATCTTTTAGAGATTACATTTAAGCAACAGATCTCTAAGAATTAATTTTGAGAACTGACTTCTTTCCTTTTGAAGAATGGTTTGAAATGGTCCTTATATTAGAATCAAATTTTCAGGTGTGTTTGAAAATAAGTAACGATGTCTTCTCATAGTAGATGAGTCTTCATTAGTAAAATGCACATTGTGTGGTTCCCATGATTATGGTATCACATTTTCTCCAGTAGAATTGCCACTAGGAAGAAGAAAGTTCTTTGAGATGATGACTATACACAGTTGTTTCTTTTTAAAAAATTGGAGACTGCTATTAAGTGCTATTCTAGAGTTCAGATAACAACTGGAAGTACATATCAGTTAATGAGAAATTTATTTTGACATATTTGTTAGACATTGCTTAAACATTTTTTGAACCAAATGTTATAGAAAACAAGGGAGGCTTTAAGGAAGACAATAATCAGAAAAGAATAGTTGAAAATCACTTCTCTTTTTTCCTTTTTTCTTCACGATTGAATCTCCAGCAAACTATTTAAATTGTTTGTGTTCAATTGCTAAGTCACTAGAGGCCTTGTCTACATTGCTGCCAGAAGGAAGATTGAAACCCCTTCTACACAGGTTATCAAACCAGTCAGGGATATACTACAGAGGATACCAATATCAAAAAGAAGAATTATTTGTTCTGATCCTATCCTGAATTCCTAAATTTATATCCTAAATTCCTAAATTGGTGACCAGATGTTACAAATGGAAGACATTTGAGAACTGTTGAACCCTTTCTTTCTTTCTTTTTTTTAATTGTGATTTGGGTGAAAGTTTACAGAGCAAATTCACTTTCCTTACAGCAGTTCACATACACTTTGTCTCATGACATTGACTACAATTTATCCCAGTGCAACAGCTCCCCTCTCACTTCCTCCCGATAGTTACCT